CACACCGTGCAAGGTGTAGAAGCCTCTACGCCTACTTGATTTCATTCCGAGTCTAACGTTTAGGCTCAAACCGCTCCTAAACCACTGCACAGAGGTTACCATTCAACCGAGAAATGTTCTATTATCATTCGATGTATAGTGACATTCACGATGTTTCAAATCTATAATCAATGGGTATAGGTCTGCAAGTGTAGCTGTTTATTGTGATGCGTACAAGTATTTCTTGGGGTGTTCAATCGATAGTATCCTTGTGCTCCCTGTAGATTTCCTATACACCTCACTAAATGTTCCAGGGTTTAGGATTTAGGGTTTCAAAACCCCTGGTCATTAAAACACAGGCCAAGACACGCACAACGCCTCACATATATGCACAATACTTTTGAGTCTAGCCTGAGGTTGGGATTTTGGTGCGGAAACCACCTGTGTCCGTACTTCACAAACGCCCTCCAAGGTGAATTGCCCTTGGTCTGCACCTCACTACAACTTTCTGGACTGCACCGCAGGTGCACTCTATTTGGGACACATGGTCGTTGTAGTAGGGTACAACATGGTTCGTCTACAGTGTTTCGTACCGTGTAGCCACCATACGTGACACTGGTGTTGGGTGTATGACTCTCACTCGGTGTTATCCGACGACTTGTGGCCTGCACTGGCACTCAGACCACATGCATCGGGCAGCCCTACTCTTGTCAGTCTGTTGTAGGTCGCTCAGTATTCTCACATTGCAAAGGTTCGACAAATAACCCCACGTGGGATTGTATCCTGCTCTAGAGGCACTTACAGTTTCTCTACTTTTGGCTCTTTCTCGCGCACAGACCACCGTGCGTGTGAAGCCCTACATGTGCACTATGCCGCTACGCCTAGATGTGGGATGGAACTTGGTGCAAATAGACCTGAGTCAACTGGTGAAACAGGCATACGGTACCGCGTATGCGGAAACCAGTCGCATTCAAATACACCCCAACTGCCGCATACGCAGGATATACTTTGCGGATAGATTGTATACGGAAGAAGAGGTGTGTGTGTGTGTGTGTGCGTGTGTGCGCTGATATAACCTCGTGTGCGTGCGTTGAGATATTTATATATCAGATATTTTTAATGTGTATGTATAT